TATAATAGCTCTTTCTTTGACTTGCTTCTCATGCTGTCTTGTGTTCGAATTTCTGGAACCTAGGTATGATTTCAAGCGAGCCCACTCTAGTCCGCGGATGTCCCGGTGGTGGTGCCCGTTGCCGGTTATACCTTTAATTTTTTTAGTGCTCTCTTGTCTTATGTTATTTTTCTCATATCCAATTCGGTACATTTACCTCGTGACTAGATCTACTGTCAAATGGATTCATAAATTTGATAATTCACTTATCTTCGGTGACTCATCAGCTGGCTAACACGTCACGTTTTATATGACATTCTCCTCCTCCCGATCAACCCCGAATCACATAAGTAACACGGACCAAGCATAAGCTCCGATTCTAGGATCAGCCATATCCGGTTTGTGAAACTGAGATAAAAACGACAACAGCAGCCATCTCCATTTGAATAATCATTCATTTTGCTTCCTCTTTTCTATACAAAATGATGTGATATATAATGTGACGTATTAGCCATTTGATGAGTCATCGAAAATAAGCTTGTTCGTTAAACTGCGTTTTCATTCAATGTGTGCCGCTAGTATATTCCGTGAATTCACTTACCCTTGTTGGATCCACCCTCGCTTAACTTCCATTCTCTTCCATTTGACGTTCCAGCTGCTCAAAGCCAGTACCAGTTCAGATACTCCGTTAGGTACTGCGGAAAAGTTGAACAAGAAACTAGAATCCATATCTCTTCCATATGTGATTCTGAGTGGAAAAAATGCTGCTGTGTAAGTGTTGTTCATGCCTTGACATTATCTAACGTTTATTTTCCCCAGTGTACATGTTTTCGTGATTCCATCATGCACACTCTTCTGTTCGGTCAGTGGTGCATTGTCCCATTTTAGTCTATTTGATCCATAGTTTGTGTTGTTTGTTGATTGCTCGGAATCCCTTACGACGATCGACAGGACCAAACGAGAACCGTCACCTAAAATTAATCCTCACATGCTCAAACCTCGCTGTCACTCGTCTGTAAAAGTGACACTTTCACAGCACGGATTTATTAATATTATTAGGCTACCTTGCTGAATGCGCCAGAGAATAACAAACAAAACGCGTCAACGACCTTAATGTCGCCATTCCATCTTACGCGTGAAGGAGGGGGGGGGATAAAATAACCGTACAATCACTAGTTGGGCCAACTCCGGGTAAATTACGTTGACAAAGGCTTGCCGATCGCAAATACCACGAATTAGTGAGCAGAGTCGCTGAATTATTATGTCCGTGTGTGTCTGCGTGCGCGCGTGCGCATAAACCACAGTGTAGGAATTCAGCTAATTGATTATCACTCGAAAATGGATTAAAGTCATGCGCATGGGCTCAACTGAGATCAATTAATAAAGTACGAATGAGTCACGAGCGCGCTACAGCCACATACACATTCACCTCCGTTCGAATGATGGTGAACTCCTCCAATGTTGGCCAGCGCTTTTGTTAGTTTGGCGTTTATATTGTACACACACACAAGCTGGTCACCTTCAATTTCGTCAACTCATTTACTCCACTTTACATTTCCTTATCTCTTTTAACACGCCTAGTTGTGAACGGGATAAGGAGGTAACTCCTACGTTGGAAGCTCGTCCCATTGATTGAAATCGAGGTCGATGTGAGTCAGCGCCTTTCTCTCAGGGACCAGCTCCCCAATGCTGTGCTTAAAGAGCATGGAGGCAGTAAAGAATAAGGTTAACAGCAATCGCAGACGTTTTTTGTGGCAGCTGTGTAGTCTCACGCCGGATGTGGCGTTGGTTTTAGCTGACGCAACGGGTGAACATTTGTATCTCCGATATAACCCCACCGGAGAAGTCAATGATGAAACCGCATATCTGAACTGCCGCCAACTTTATTTCCGGGCTCTAGCAAAACAGATGCACGTCCTAGTTAATTTAAGTGTTCTCATTTACATGGTAAGCTTCATGGCGGTCAGCAAAGTTTGTTCCAACGTATTTCGCTGTATACGGATGATGACGAAGCCGTAGCTTTTCGCCAATTATCGCAACATTAGTGGAGGTGGGGGCTCGGTGCGTGGATATAGTGGTCTCCTACGAGTGAATTTGTGCACCGATGAACTGCTTGCAGTTATCGAACGTTCCGAATAGTTGTCGAACGATAAAATACTTGAAAATCTTAAACTGCACGTTATCTCTCTTTAAAAGCACAGCTTCACGTAATGTCATCATTTAACAGAACGGTGTCTGTCGTTGGTTCGTATTTCTGATATCTCTGTATTACTACTATTTTAGTAATCATCGTGCTGTTCTTAGTTGCACTCCCAAATCTCTCACGTTATTGGTTAACCGGTTCACGTCAAACGGATCTGATTGTGACACTAACAAATTGTGGATCCGGTTGCATTGCACGCGGAATCATTTCCAAAACCGATGAGGACTCGCTGTTCAATTAGGGACCTCTCTACTGCGATTCGGAAGGACACATTTTTTAGATTATTTTTAATACTAAATAACCCGCGGAGCATACCTTCGCAGCTTTTTTAAATTTAATTCGTTGTTGGTCCTTATCTCATCGCGCCATTTTCCATTCATCTACCGTGGCCGTTCAATGTTAATGGATTTTTTTACCACCCCGCTCCTATTTTTTTCCAATTTCAGCAAGAATTTGACAAAATGAATGTGTGCGTGCCACTAGCCGTGGTACAGCTTTTGGTTTGCCGTGCTCACCGCCTCTCGTTCCCTCAAGGTGTTTCTCGTGTACAGTGTCCCTTCACAACTCGACAGTTTGGGAACTAACTGAACCTGGCTGTTCATCTCTACTCCTTGTTCAATATAATTTTGCTCCTCTTCATTATTCTGTTGTACCGATTTGTCAGCATGTCGGGGTGGGAGCTTCGATGAGGTCATCGCAGTTCGATTACATTTGATCTGGACCTCGAATTAGGTCAAGTGAATCAAGCAATATGGTGAAAAACTCGACAGTCACAGGTGTACGTTTTTGTCGCCTTATAATTTCTTCCACTTAGAGCATTTGAAATTAAAACAAAACAACGAACACTGTATTCTGTCCGTTTCAGAAAAGTGAATGGATAGAAAAGTTTAATGATCCATTTAACTTTATCACTTTCCCATAACTGTGTGAAACTTGTCTATCAGTATTTGCCGACCTTTATGCAAATCGAGGCAGTGCGTGACCACAGACTGTTGACCGCTCATAGATGACACTAACCGTACGAATGCGTTAGTGTCCTTTCGTGAACTTATAAATGGATGAAGTGCATTATTCGCAAAAAGAAACCATTACCTTCGCATTTCGGATTCTCAAACAAAAGACATATGTTCAACAAAAGAAAAATATTAACATTTTTAACTTGTATGAACGATATATCTCGCTTTAAGGGGGCGAGGTGAGGTTGGTTTTTTGATACATTTTATACCTTAGGGCGCTTATGTTCCCTTGGGGACGAGATGTTGCCACCGACATGAGGTGAAGACGGAATGTTCGCGTTATAAATGTCGTGCGTCGACCGTCTCATCCCAACCGAGGTCATCTGAGTATAAAGCCTCCGTGTACCAGTGGTGTTATCAGTGCTTATCTCAATGGTCGGCTGTCAGTTCTTTATGCTACTCCGAGACACAGGGAACAGTAGCCGAGTTTACAGTTCGATGGCGCATGCAGTGATACACGGAGGAAGAAGGAAAACGGTTTGAAAGTGAATGACCTTGTCTACAGCCAAACAGTACGAATCCAAAGAAGGACTTATTGGAACGATTGGCCAATCGGATGACGAGGTGGTTGTCTGCGGTTCAAGCCATGATCAAAGCGCACTGACCAAAGCCCCGGTTAGCACAAACTCTGAGCCATATGATAAAAGAGCAGAACGAAACAGTATGAATCACGTACTTAACACAGGTGTGGCAGGGCGTCACGCATAAATCAGCTGCAACGTGTTGATGGGAAGTGCAGTGGTCAATAAAAAGACTAGCAATTAATAGTTGGTAGGGTTAATTGATAATCATAGGAAACCGACGTTACTTGGGGGCCTGCAATTCGGTCAGATATGCAGTTTAAATGCATTGACAGATCAAAGTACTACTTCCCGACGGAAATATATTTAGCTGAACGGGTTGGGCGGTTTCATTTGTTAATTAGAGTGTACTGATCATGTTAAGAGATTAATGTCTGATAAGGTTTGAGAATAACGAGAGTGAGGTGTAAGCCCTAAATCATCATCACGGTGCTGCCATGTAACCCCAGTTGCTGAAAGCCATTCGCAATTGTTCAAGTGATTGGGGCGTTGGAGTACAGACCCAGTCATGTCTGGATTTGAGTCCCAGTGTATTTCGTGGATGTAAGTCTACCCACTGACGATTCTAAACAAGGACGAAACTACCGTACAGTCGTGGCGAGTGAAAATGATAGATACACTTTCGTGAAAACTGTTGTTTCGTTTCCGAAACAGGAAACTGATTCATTTGTTCGGCTACTGAGATTATCTGTGAATCTGTGAGACCGGACTTATCAGGCTCTGTTAGGTTATTGCTTCTGAATATCTCAATTGTGAGGCTGTAGTGTCCACACGCATATGGCTGTGTGCAATTTTTTCAACTCTACAAGTAAGCCCCTTACTGGACGTGACCTCCATCTCCACACATCCACGATTGTTCAACTGACCGCAGAGTTTAATGAGAGAGAAAACTACTTATTCCCGAGTCGGCTTAACCTTAGGAAAGTACTAATCTGTAGGATTGCCAAAAACCTATCTGGATTAACCGGTACACATCATCCAAGTCAAAAGTTCTTCAACCCACCTTGTAGCCTGCAGTAATCCCACCGATCTTTTTTCAGTCTGAGACGACATTATAACCGTCTTTCAGCGTGGTTTTTATCGTCGATTCCTATTACCCCCTGGCGATAGGGTTACTCTCAGTTCCACACCGCAATTATTGAGGAATAAATAAATAAAATAAAGTTCATTAGCTACTCAATTTTAATCTTGTAATTATGTGAGCATTTCTGTTCATAATGTGGAAAATAAGGTCAACCGGGGAGGGGGGGGCACATGAGCTTTCGCCTGATGGCATTTTATAATTGCCGTATAATGAACTGCTCCCCGGACTGGAGCTGTAGAATCCGCATACGGAAGCAGGGTCTTTTAAGTCAAATGGATCAAAATAACAGAACAGTCCCGTGATGAATGATGGAATGACGAGTGACTCGCTGCAATGTTGTTCTATTCCGTAACTGTAAACCAAAAAGAATCTTTGCGTTCTCACATGGGTGGTATTGAGGTAACAGTCCTTTGGGTAATGAAAACAATGTTCTTTGGGTAATCCTGCTAAGAGTTGATCAAAGAATAAGACTTCAGATGTTCGTTTTGCCATTGCCGGTAATAATAATTCGGAGAACGAATGAGATCTGAGAAAGGAGCGCAATACTAAAACTGGGTCGAACAAATACATGTAACACCTATCAGGTGGTTCATACAACAGCCAAATCCGATGTGTTTCATCAAATTTTTCACAGATAACCTTAATTTCATCGATCGATGTTTCTGCTCTAACATTACTTTGTATTTCACGTCCAGACAGTGTTCCTTTTCCGAGGACACTCACTGGTAGAGCCTCCACAAGAATCGGTATTTGGTCCGTACCTATTCCTAGCACTCATAAACTTCCTTGGAGAAAAGGCATTCTTATTCGCTGACGACGCTAAAGCATGGAGGACGTTACAACATCCTGAAGATTATGCAAGAAAATCTCGACGCAGCTTACCGATGGTCT